CAAACTATAGTCAAGAAACTTGAAACCGGGACTAAAAAGAGGACGAATATTGCAAAAGAAAACTTTCCGGTACCAAACTTTAGTAAATCAACAAAACCCAGGGACTAAAAACGTAATTTACTCCAAAACAACTTACTTCTCTTGCATCTTAACCATAGATCTCGGCCTCTGATACCCCTCCTCCCTATCCTCCCCTTTCTTCCCTTGATTCCTTGATTCCGGTTTCCAATCCGCCTTAATCAGCGATTCCCCCAACAACTCCGCAATATCCGATGCCATTCCTTCCGCCTTCTTCACATACGGAAAACTCTCCTCCTTAAAATGATTCGATAACCACAAATACATTGACACAACTTGATGCTTACTTTCCAAATCCAACAACTCCATATCATTTCTAGCAGAAAACTTAGGAACCCCCATAGCCAAACTCACAGGAACATTCATAGCATACGATTGAGCAAATCTCAACAAATGATACATCGCTTTCGGGTCCCGTATATTCACAGGGGCAAAACAGAAATTAAACCGATCTTCCAAAGATAACCCTTCAACTTTCTCCAACATGTTAGCAACTTTCTTTATATGATCATGTTTACATAAAAAGTAACACCCATCTAATCGACAATTCTCACTGAATTTTTGTAAAAGTTGTGAAAAGGTGATGTCGGAAATTTGTCCTGCGAATAATTCGACTTGTTCGAAAAACGGGAAGAGGCCTACTTTGGTAATTTCATCGAAATTTTTTTGTAAACATTCGATTAAGTAATCTAAATCATCTAAATGTAGAGTTGTTGTAAGTCCATCTGGATATATACTTCCTCTTCGACCCGCCCGCCCGGCTATTTGCTTCACTTGTGAAGGTGGGACCGGGACGATTTTGTCCCCGTTGTATTTTGAAAGAGAGTAGAAAACGATTCTTCTTATGTTTAAATTTAACCCCATTCCAACTGCATCACTTGCTACTAATATATCATACTCATTACCTTGTTCATTGAAAAGATTAGCTTGATGTCTACGTGTCTCTGGTGGCAATGCTCCGTAAATAACACAACATTTATGGGTTGTATGTTTTTCGATTGCTAATTTCACTTCGAAAATCTCACGTCTTGAAAATGCAACTACACAATCACCTGAACGAACGTTTTTTATGTCGCCTAATAAGGTTTTGGCTTCAACTACTAATGGTTTGAATCTTTCATAATGGTTTTCGATTAATTCGTCTCCTGTTTCTTTACAGATTTTTCTTACAATTGATAGAACACTTGGGTCTCCACATAGATGGATTTCATCAGCTTGTAAACCTAATAAAGCGCGTGTCCATGCGTATCCTCTGTATAAATCCGACATCATTTGGATTTCATCTATCACTGCTACTTCGTATAATTCTTCTGTGGACACCATTTCTACAGTGCAAGCAGTGTGATTTCCAAATGGGACATACTTCTTTTCTTGACCTGTGAGAAGGCTACAGTAGACACCTAGTGAGTTTACTTTATCGAAAACTTCCATGGCTAGAAGGCGTAGAGGGCTACAATAGATACCCTTTTTTGCTTCCATGAATCTTTGTAATGCGTTGTAGGTTTTACCACTGTTGGTTGGGCCACAATGGTAGATGATTTTGCGTTTGATGGCTCTAGCGAATGGGAACCAGGTTTCGGGTTTTGTTAAGTCTGCAGAGGCAATCATGCTTCTGAACTTTTTGATTTCATCTGGATGCTGTTCTAGAGCGTATTCAACGAAGATTGGGAAAAGAAATTTGTCGGATTCAGTACCAGGGCCCAGAGATAACAAGTGATCGACGATATCACGATCACATTTCTTGAAGAAAAAGTTTCGGAATTGATGAGCTGCTGTTGGGAAAAAGGATGCACCGATGTAGATAGCTAGAGCTTGGTTTGAAGCCCAACCAGATCTTGCAAAGCAGCGGAAGATTTCTGAAAGTTCCTCGCATTCTTCTAGCCCTAACTTTATCGAAATGGGGGCATCACAAAGCCGACGGTAAATTTCTTCAGGATCGAGAGCTGAAACATGTTTAGATCCCTCGTTTGTTGACGGAGATACTTGATCTTTGATTTTGTTGTCGTCACCATGTTCTGATGCAATAGGCTCTGTAGATTGTAAACTAGAACTAGAATTTACAAATTCATTGGGTGTACAATACAATCTCTTGTTGAAATTAAGAACCCTAAAATCTAAACCGGAAGAGGAAGAGGAACATTTATTGAGCTGGGTTCTTTCAGGGTGAGTGAAACCAACCGATTGGTGCATTTGCATCGATGGATTATGAAATTCATTGCAAGATAAAGTAAACCGATTAGAAGATGAGATATATCTGACCTTAAATTGTGAAGAACAATTGCGGAGAAGGCGTGTTGCAGGATTTCTTGCCATTGCGATTAAAGAGCAATAGCATTACATAATAAGCACAACCGAAGAATGAAGATAGATACTGAGATACATAATATACGAAGATAATGAGAAATCAAAATTGTGGTGAATTGAGAAAGAAGTGAAATGGAGGGAAAGGAATGGTTACTACTAGAACCCTAGAAGGATGTAAATGGGTCGGTTAACTAAAACCCTAATGCAACCACAACCGTTGGCGTATCGGCAATAGTGGTGATGTGATGACTGTTTTCTAAAATTGAAACTACACATTCTTTTTTAAGGATTAAAATTTGTTAATGTTTTTAAATTTAATTGAATTTAGTTTTATTATGCATTTAATAAAAGATTATATAGATAATAGATTCTTCTTATGAGTTTCTTGAGCCCTTCAATTTTTGTTTCTGGTTATTTGTATTCCTTCTATTGTTTTATTTGGCTATGTTTTGGATATTTTGATGAAATAATCGGAGAAATTAGTGGATCTATATTATAATGGTATTTTTCCAAGTGAGAAACTTGAAACAAATTACAAAAAGTAGTTTAACATTATGGAGTTATACCAGTCAGACCAAGTAATGTAATTGAACTTAGAACTATTTCTAATCCAATCGAAAGTATTAGGGTTGATACCATTCATCGTGAGCATAACAGCCCATATTTCATTTATGAATACAATAGAATTACGTGATTTTCAAATCAATCATAAGGCTGTGTAAGCTAAGGACAACTTTAACTTCAGAATAATTTTACTGCCATCATTCGAATACAACAAATCCGTTAGCTCACTACAAGAACTAGGTTGTCTTGGAAGATCGAGGACAACGACACCAACCACTTCCAGATCATCAAGGCAAAGTGACATGAAAAGAAAATGTGATTGATGCATTCCTCCACAACTCGACAAAAGGGAAAAAAAGTGGATGAGACTGTGATACCACGTATAATCAGATTTGAAAAAATAGAGATCGTGTTCTTGAAAGTATGTCAAACAAAACATTTAGTTTTGATCGATAACACCCCACTGACATCATAAATACGTCTCCACCTTTCTGAACCTACTGCACAAGTGGAAGCATTCAAGCTATTGACCAGGGCCGACAACCAGTTAGATTCATGACCTCTTCTTGGTTGTTCCGTCCACTCAACTATATTGATCCACTAAATCAACCCATATCTTGTATAATTCACTTGCATTGTTGTTGGTTTTTAAGTAACAAATACTTCTCCTAAATTGATCTCACATGAAATATAAATAATACCAAATGACTTATAACCGAGTGGTATCTAATGTTGCATGATATCTAGGGTTGTAAACGAACTGGACGTTCAACGAATTATTCGTGAACCGTTCGACGGGAACTTCATTTATGTTTGTTTATTTAATAAATGAACAAACATGAATACAAATTCTCGTTCGTTTAGTTAAACGAACGAACATGAACAATTGTCTCGTTCGTTTAATTATGTTCGTGAACGTTCGTTTATGTTCGTTCATATAAGTTCATTTTATCTTCATATATGTTTAATTGTGTTTTATATTACTATATTATATGTCAATTTATGTTAATATATGTTTGTTTATCTTTGTTCGTTTATTATGTTCACGAACATAAACGAACGAACATGAACAATGTAATTTGTTAAACAAACGAACATAAACAAGAAAACTCATTCGTTTAACCATTCATGTTCATTCATTTGTTTGGTTAACTTAAATGAACGAACATAAATAAACCTCGTTCGTATTCATTCAGGTCGTTTACATGGTATCCCTCAATCAAACGGTTGTGATAAAAAAAAAAAAGAGATATAAATCCTCCTTAATAAATGAAGGTTTTTTTGAAACATGTTAATCTTTCATGAGTTTTGTGATATTTTTTGAAATAAATATTATCCAGTTATCAATTTTTTATTTGTTTTAATTTTTAAATTTAAAGTCATAATACAAATATCATATATATGATATTAATTGTATTAAATACGTTTCTTCCTTTCATATTTTAAAGTTATACATTAAAAAAATATTTTCTGTTTATATTTTAATTTAATATTTTTTTTTTAAATCAACCTATGTAATACACAGATCTCACACCTAGTAGATTGAATCAATACCCGATATATTTAAGGTACAATACAAAGAACTCTAGATTTATATATATTGAAATTTAATTATCCTTTATACATATCCAAAATTACGAGTATCCAATTTAAAACAACTTCTATTATACTTTTGTAGTTAACAAAAAAGAAAAAGAAAAAAAAAAAAACAATTTAAACAAAAACGTATTATGGTATTATCATTATTCTTGTTCCATTGTTTTCGTAATGCATTTGATATTCGATGATGTCTATTGTTTTCAAGCATAAACATCACATGAAACCTTAATGTATTTCCATTTAATATATCAAAAACATAATAGCTTTTGGTAATAAAATAGTTTTGATAGGGAAAACAAGTAATCAAAATTAATACATTCAAAGTTAACCATAAGAGAGATTTTAACAACATTCATCGAGTGATTAACATGATAACACACTGTGCTTGATCCATATGCATCAACCACAACTCATATTTCAAAAAGATACTAATTAAGTCTCTTTAGATTTCAATCTTACTCCTTAGAACACGAAGAAATGCCAGTTGACTTGTGTGAATTCTCCCAATTAAGTCCATCAAAAAGCTTAATCTCCACATGAATTAGGGTTCCAGGATCAACACACTTGTATGTTATCGCTATTCCATCTGGGTTTGACCTTGGCCTATAAAACGAAGTTATGCCACACACTTTACAAAACATGTGTTTTGCTGTGTGTGTCCCAAAAGTGTATGTCGTAAGAAACTTTTCAGAGTCCCCCAAAAGCTCAAATCTTTCAGAAGGAACAATGAAGTGAGTGTTTCCTCTCATGGCACAATCGGAGCAGTTGCACTGCCACGCTACAACAGTCGCCGGAGATTGAACTCTCCACCTCACATTTCTACAGTGGCATCCACCATTGTGTGTCACCATCTCCGGATTCATCCTGTTGCAGGTTATATCTCTGTTCTCTACTATTTAGGCGATTTAATCTGCAATTATAGAGAAGAACTAGGAACGAAGGTAGTCGTTTACAGATCTTCAATCAAGATATGTGCTGCGATTGGTGATTGTCGATCAATTAGGGTTTCGATTCTGATGCCCTTTGTATCAACTGAAACCCTTATTGTGAATACTTGTAGAAAGATAAAAAGGAATTTCGGTGTTCAATATGTAGTGATTATTCTTCAAAATAGATCGATGCAGAACTGGAGGTGAAGGTTTAAAAGAAAGTTACCAGATTTTCTTCTAGCAGACAAATCCCAAAGAGACGTGTTCAACATCGACCAGATTGAGATGGCATGTCTTGGATGTCTTAAACAATTAAAATCAAAAGCAAAAACAAAATTCCATTTTTGAGCAAAATATTATTGAAGGCTTTGTTGTTTTTTGGGTTGATTATTAAAATACCACATGTTTTTGTTCTATGTTGAAAAATGATTAAATTTTTATAAGTTTAATGAAATGATATATTATTTCCAAATGATACCATTTTAAAGCAAAGAGGTATATGAAATGTAATTATTTTATTTTGCATCAGAAATATAGGAATAATAATTCTTTCTCCTGGCTCATTAGCATATATATATATATATATATATATATATATATACTAGCAACGTTTTAGGGTCATGCTAAGCACGGCCCACGAAGGGTAATTTGGGAATTTCCTGATTTTCTAAATGTTGTGGAGCAAAAAAGTGAAAGCTAATTCCAATACTCTAAGCTCATTAATATATATATATATATATATATATATATATATATATATATATATATATATATATATATATATATATATACTAGCAACGTTTTAGGGTCATGCTAAGCACGACCCACGAAGGGTAATTTGGGAATTTCCTGATTTTCTAAATGTCGTGGAGCAAAAAAGTGAAAGCTAATTCCAATACTCTAATAGAACGAATGAAAGAAGAATGTTATAAAAAAAAGACAAAATTGCAAAAATGGTCCCTGTGGTATGCAATTTTTTGGGGTTTTAGTCCAAACCATGACTTTTTTGGATTGGTGGTTCTTTTGAGGTAGTTTGCTTGTGATTTTGGTCCTTCAATAAATTGAAAAGACTAAATTGCCCTTATTATATTTATTTTCCACTTTTTTTTTTCTATAAATATTTATATATAAAAAATAAAAATAGGGGGCCCACTCTCTCTCTCTCTCTCCCCCCTTGATCTTGCAGCTATAACAAAAGCAGCTTCATCAGGGATTCAGCTTCATAAGTAACTCTCCCTGTTTCTTCATCAACATCAGGAATCGCTGTCCCTGTTTCTTCATCAACATCAGGAATCGCTGTGTGACAAATCGCAAGTAATCTAAAGAACTTCTGAATAACATCAGAACGTGGTTCAAGAAGCCAATAACCATTGAGGAATCCTTTCATCTTCAAAATTATACCCTTTTACAAATAACCCAGAATCATCGTCTTCATCATCATTATCGTCATCAAGAACTCTTCCATTAACAACCAATGGTGATCCTGTCTTTTTCGCCATAGCTCTTTCAACTTCTGTAACACCACGTCCGTATGTTGTTCCTGCTATTGAACACTTGATGAACTCCATTGAATTGCAGGTTAAAGTCCCAGTTTTGTCTGATAAAATCGTGTTGATTTGGCTGAGTTCTTCGGTGATATTTGAAGTTCGCGTGTGTGCGGGTTTATCAGCTTCTTCGTAGTACATATGAATGTTGTTGTTGATGAAAATCGTTTGTAGAACTTTCACGATTTCTATTGAAACGTATAGAGAAATCGGGATTAAATATGTGTATAACAATAAAGTTGTGAGAAAATGGAAAATCGCTGCAGCTGGAGCGCGTTTCGGGTCGAAAAAGATCTCTGAATCGTCGGGTCTCAAATACCATCGTTTCATTCTGTGATTGTGAAGATAAGGGGGATGGAGACTGTTGGTGGCGAATGATGGTGGCTTATGTATTTATGAATCTTGATTGCGTTTTTTACATGTAGGAATTGAGCATTTTTGATGGGAGAAATTAGGTTTTTTGGAAGCAGAGAATATGGTGAAAGGGGGAAGAAGATGAAGAACAAAGTAGTATGTGTTTTTGGTTGTAATCCATCGAGAGAGAGAGAGAGAGAGAGGTGGGCCCCAAATTAGGTAATTATTTTATTTTTCATATAAATTAAATAGAAAAAGAATAAAAATATATATCAGAAGGGCATAATAGTCTTTTCAGTTTACTGAGGGACCAAAAACGCAAAGAAAGTAGCTCAAAAGGACCACCAATCCAAAAAAATCGTGGTTTGGACTAAAACCCCAAAAATTTGCATACCACAGGGACCATTTTTGCAGTTTTGTCTAAAAAAAAAGTAAGGTGTTTCTTATAAATATCTTCATTTGCCTTTACAAGAATACAAATGAGAGTAAAAATACAAAATATGTGATTGTAATAAAAAAGAAGGGACAAGCTCACCATTCTTTGATATTATGAAGCTAATGGCCAATTGGTGGACCTAAACTTCACATACCTATTCCTTGTCCATCTTCTTATTCCATGACCAACATCCTAATGGGCTACGTTAGACTTGATATAGTTAGACTTCATATAAGAGGCTTAAAACTAAGAAAAAATAACTCATTAGGTACATATAACTCATATTTAGAATCAAATCATATGAAAATGGAAGTAAAAATCGGCATTGCAGTGATAATGGATGACAAAGATCGAGGATACTGGTGAACCGAGATACCGACCAACAAAACTGAACAAGTTTCATCAGCCTACATCAAAACAAGTTGTTATTATCCAGCGACCAAAAACTTAACCACAAACATCAAAATTAGAGATAAATAGGGATAATTTGGTATTAACCTTTCAAGTTTCTTCTTATATGTGGTAGCAACATACATTTCATTATCAACATGGTCATAACCCCACAAAGGGGTGTCATTTTATTCATTCATTAGGTGCATAAGAATCCAAAAAAAAAAAAAAAAAACAATATTGTAAGTACGAAAGTTATATGAGAAAATGGTTTGCATTTGAAGCTGAGTATTGTAAAAAATTGCAAAAAGAACCTATGTGCTTTTTCCCATTTCAATATCATATATTTTTTATATTTGAGGGTAAAATTATCAAAAAAAAAAAGTCAACCATTATTCATGCGTGTGTGCTTCTTCCTTAAAGTTAAAATCATTGAAACTAAACCTAGAATGACCTTTACAATTTACATATATGGAGTAACTACCAAAAATATATAGGGGTAAAAAATTTATTCTTAGTTAAAATTTTAGGAGCTTCAAAGACATTATCATTCTACGAAGAAGCTAAAAATATCAATCTACATTGACAAAGTCTTCAATCCACAGCAACCTTAGTCTTGGCCATATTGAATTTGAGAAACCAGGAACATAACATTAAACTTTAAGGATCATTGATGAAGAAATAATCCACCCCACAAGGAACAGGAGGTAGCAATGTACTTTCCGAATGGAATTGCAACTATACTACATCGGCTTCTACTACCATTAAAACCTTTGAAAGTTGAGTGTCATGAAATGCATTATCGATCATGAAAACCAATAAGGCAAAATAGTTTGCGTATGAAGTGGCAATAAGCATAAAATAGCAACATACTTTGTAAAAAAAATTCATCCAACTTTTCTTTTGTTTTTATTTTTTGTCAATTACATGTGTCCCACTAAGCTTTTGAAACTTCTCATGTCCATCGACCTACGTAAAGGAGAAATCTAAACATTTATTATGTGGAACTGAGCACAATTTAAAAAAAAATTAGAAAAAGAAAAAAGTAGTATCTTTATCATTTTAATAGAAAAGACTTTAGCCTAAAATTTTATGTCGTTGCTAGTCGGCCCTACCGAAAAAACAATTGAAATGGACATTAACAAGTTAATAATTTTCTATACACGTACCCGTACAGTAGAACAAAATCATTAAATTACAAATTTGGATTCTAAATAGAAAAAAACAATTATTTTACTACCAACTACAACATGGAACATTAAAAAATGAAACAAAAACAAAGTATCTCACCATCCACTACATGAAAGAAGTAGTCTTTAAAAAAAAATTAGCTTAATTATCTTTATCATACAAGAAGCCTTAACGATATAGTTTGTTGTCCGTTTGCAATCACACTCATTATACGATGATAATTAAAGTAAATCATAGTTTTCAAAAAAAAAAAAGTTGCTAACTGCACATGGTTTCTTTTGATATCCACAAACATTGTATCTAAATCTTCATCTTTAAAAGTAAAATACAAAAGATATTGTACAATAAAAAATAAATAGGGTACCTGGTTAAGAAGATGAAAGCACAAATACTTCAATTAACAAATGAGTAAATTATTGAAATGGTCCCTATAGTTTGGTCAAAATTACACGTTTGGTCTCTAACTTTTTTTTAGCACCTGGATCATCCCAGTGGTTTGATTTTGTTGCGTTTTTCGTCCCTTACATACATAAAATTAGGGACCAAACGTGCAATTTTGACCAAACCATATGGACGAAAAATACAATAAAATCAAACCACAGGGACAATCCAAGTGCAAAAAAAAAAAAAAAAAAAGTTAGAAACCAAACGTCTAATTTTGACAAAACTATAGGGACAATTCTAGTAATTTACTCTTAACAAATATAACAACTTAATAACCTATATTGCAGCAAAAAATCAATTAAAAATGGAAGTGTCAGATGGAACTTCTCATCTCCATCAACCATTGCACGCCATCACCAAATACTATTTTGACTTTATAGTATTCTGATTAAGTTATATTAAACTCTATTGACAGGAACCGATAAAAAAGAGCTTCATCGTACAAAACACACACCAATATTTGATGGAAACTAAAACGTGTTGACATCGCAACTTACCATTTTTCTTTAAAGGCTAAACATGAATCAATTTTGATTCTCCTTTCGCTAATACAAACAGAGTGGCAGAAATAGTTTAGGGAAGGTGAACGATGGTATCATAGTGGAGCGTTTTTTGCCATGGACAAATAACACAGATAAAGGAAAGAAAATTTGGTGTGCAATTGTTGGAAAGGAAATTGATTTTAGGGTTGTTATAATCTTGAATACCCGATGCTGTGTATTCACCTATAAACTCGATTATGATGAATTGGGATCGAGAAAGAGAAAATTTTTAAACCATATGCATCAATATGCAGAATCATCATTTAAACAAGCATGAGGCGTCCTGGTTTTTTCAGCCTCTAATATTGGTGAGGAAGAAGTAGGCATGTTGTTAGAGAAAAAGAAAGTGATGGTATGGTGAAGATAGAAATATCTAGTTAGGTCTGGTGTCTAAAAAAAAGGAAAATAAGGAACGATGGAATGGGGAATGGTAGTATACTGAGGAAGAAATGTCTTCGTGGTTGGAGAGAGGAAACGATGAAGTAAATGGGGATTGGATAGAGGTTGAGAAATGAAGCGTCTAAGGCCTTCTGGTATGGTCATCACGAGAGCTTCCGTGGTCTATGTTGCCACTAACCACAAATGTGAACACCATCCCTTAGTGTTAGTGATGACTAGTGGTGGAACACTTTCGTGGTCATGTGTGGCGAGGAGCACGGATCACCATACCCAATCAACTTCATTCTCTCTCTATTACTCTCCATCTCTCTTTACCTTTTTCCATCTCTCTCTACAATTTAATTAATTAAAAAAAATATTTTTTATTTTAATAATGAAAAAATAAAAGGGATATAGTTGTGAGTATCCCATCCTTTTAGTGGTAGCTAGTGGTGATGATGTGGCACCCATCACTATAATGGTTAGTGATGGGTATAACAGATGACCTAATGGAAAAAACATGAATATAGGAGTAACAAACCTGGAAAACACATATCCCGAGAGAAAGGGAGAAGGAAGCATGTGTCACAAGCTTTGGAAGATGAGCGGATGGTGGAATACAGTTGTTAAGAAGATAGAGAAGCGTCGGTTGTAGACCTACAGATAACATCACGCACCCAAGACTTATGGTTGAAAAAAGGCCTAATGATTGTGCTTCACGCGCTCACGAGAATCCTCTTCATTTCAAATGGAGAGCTCTCAATGTAGAGGCTTTACATATATAATATGATATATATATATATATATATATATATATATATATATATATATATATATATATATATATATATATATATATATATATATATAGGGAAGGGTTATTAGAAAACGAAAAACCCTAAAAATCATAAAAATGCATAAAAAAATATATTTAGATATCACAAAACTTTTTTTTTTGAATTTTTTTAATAAAAATTCACAGGTTTATATACAAATTCGCTAAAGAATAGTTTGAAATTTTTTTTTATATAAAAAAACAAAAAAAAAATGATTTTTTTTTCTGTGAATTTAAAGAAAAAGCTGCGATTTTTTATAAAAAAAAAATTCAAAAAAAGTATTGTGATCTCTAAGTATTTTTTTATGCATTTTTATGATTTTAAGGGTTTTTTTAGAGTTTTTTGTTTTCCATAGAACCTAAACATATATATATATATATATATATATATATATATATAATATATATATATATATATATATATATATATATATATATATATATATATATATATATATATATATATATATATATATATATATATATATATATATATATATATAGTGTGAGAACGTAAAAACATTATTTTTATGTTATTATTCTATAATGAATTTTGTATTCATAGCTTTATATCATTATTCAGCAATGAATAAATAAATAATCACATGCTAAAACTAAAATTAGAATTTACTACAAAAATGAACATGCATAAATTTATAATAGAAAAATAACATTTTAATGAATATATGAATAATTAAACATTAATAGTCATATTTGAATTACTTCAACAATACAAATATACAACATTCATTAAAGAATAATAACATAAACATAGTGTTTTTACGTTCTCACACTATTTACTGTTTTTATTTGAACTTACTTCTACGTGTGTGAATATATATATATATATATATATATATATATATATATATATATATATATATATATATATATATATATATATATTGGAGGGTTCACTTGAGATTAAAAAAAATTAGAGATCTTGAGATTAAACTTCAGCTACATATTTTTAACATGTCGTTCTAACGCTCCAACGTACCAACAATAGCAGTGGGGTAGGCCTAATTATAAATGATTATATATATATATATATATATATATATATATATATATATATATATATATATATATATATATATATATATATGTCCACTCACAAATTGATTAATCATATATAATTATGACAGTTAGCAGTAGAAAATAAGGTGATGACAGAGGTGGTGGTGATATAAGCGGTGAAGGTGGCAGTTGTGAGATCGAATGGTGGCAGAGGTGGTAGTGATGGTGATAGTAAAGGCGGTGGGGATGGTGACAAAAGAGAAAGGAACGGACAACACTATATAATCATTTATGATTATAACAGACTCGTCGCACCGGTATGCCGGATGGTTAGAACGACAGATGTGAAATATGTGTCTAAGGTTGAATCTTAAGATCTCTATTTTATTTTGAATTTCAACGAAAAACACACACACACACACACACACACACACATATATATATATATATATATATATATATATATAAATATAGACACAACAATATTTAAGAATCTCGTGAAGTGTTGGTACTGTCAGTAATCCAACATTGTAACATTAATACTACCATATGACTCGACTTTTCGAAGTGCGCACATCCAATCAATATGTGTGGAGTCGAAATCAAGGACTCTCCAAGATGTTATGTCCTTTACAGTTGATATCTCACATAGTGATACCACTCATCTTAGACCTGCATCAATAACACTCAACTATTGTCTCTCCTATTACTCGATCCTCCCATGATTGTAAAATTAACCAAAATAATAAACACTATCCATATAATTTTACTTTTGTTCCCTATAATAATAATAATAATATTTATGTGTGTGTATAATAATATTATTTATTTATTTACTTACTTATTTTTTATGTGTGTGTATAATCACTAATAAACACCTTTCCAAAACCAAAAACAGATTTATAATAGGCTCACTCCGACCCTTTGTATCTCTAATGCGTGAGTCACTTAATAAGAAATAAAGATTATAAACACTATACACACACACACACACACACACATATATATATATAATAGTTCATTAGAGAACCATTATCAATGGTTGTCCAAGGAACCAAATATTTTTTCAAAATTTAGAGCTTAGTCTTTATCGAAAAAACTAAAAATATTAAATTCATAACTTCACATTGTGAATGCTTATATATTTTTTCGAATTCACCGAGTGAATTCAGATTCACATTGTGAATTTTACAAGTACTAATTCTCATACTTGATAGTATCTGAATTATTGAGGATTGCCTTAATATGATACTATTGAAAATTTAAGTTTTTAAAAAGTATATCAATGTACTTTGGATTGTGTTATATCTATCTCTGAATTTAAGCTCTATTGTTTGGTTATTTTGATAAGGTACGAGTTTTATATGTAGATATGATTTAAGTGTTCAATCATATTAAAGATTTATAATGTTAAACCATAGGATTGTGCCCGCTAGGCTCCCCAAAATCTAACTCACTTGTTGATAAACTTTTGTAGGTTAGTCGATCTTGTCAAAATAAAAAAAGACTTATAAGTTTGGACATTTAGAAGACTTTTGGTTGTATTGACTTCTTAAACCTTTGTTTTGATATATGTTGAGACATTCTCGTATGTTTTGATTTTTCCAACTTAACTTTATCTTAGAACTTGTGTTTTGAGACCGTAATCTACATTTGAACTCTGAAAAATAGTATTATTTAATTTTTGGGATCGTTTCCCATAAACTTAAAAATCCAAAAATATTTTTAAAAGATTTTATTAAAGGTTATTTCAAATGGGACCATGCGATGAGTGTTTCATTAAAAGAGTTTGGTGATCATATAAGAGTATTTTAGTCATTTTAGTAACCTATATTATATCTTATAGGTGGGGATTAAAGAAGGGTTTCACTAAGGATGGGAGTTACTTCTTAAGCTGAGGATTGATGTGATGTTATCAAGACTGCACATCCCTAAATCTTACTTTATGTGTTTTGATGCGTTTTGTTTGCTTTTCATTATATGATATTATATTTAAACCTTGATTACAATGTGGATTATATGTGCACTCATGGAATCATAATTTATGAAATGCTTTTGGTTAATATAAACTAAACTGCTTATTTTTGTAAAAAGAGTTTTAGCATCCTACTTGTTGCATTCATGTTAGGGTGGGTGACTTGAGTGAACACAAGACCCTAGGACCCCACAAACGAGAAATGAATACCCAACTTGAGGGTTGTAAGTATATTTCTAGATAATCCTCATGTACACATGTGAACTTGCTACCACTTATGTGGTATATGATGATGGCTCCTTAACCGCCTACCGTCGTATGACTGGACAACAGTTGGGTGGTGGTTTCATGCAATATGACACCATTCATGAGTCTTGACTCTTGATTATTAACCATCAATATTAGTGAGTTGGACTTATGAGATGGACAAGGGTGGGTGTAGTTGCATACATTGCATATCTTTTGGAAATCATTCCTTATTTTTGTTTGACGATCTGCTAGCAGTAACTTAGCCTTTTGGTAAACTAGGAACTTGGGTGGTCTCAAACCCCTTTGACTTGATTTGGATCATTGAATTCCAATACTTTGAGATGGGTTTTTAAATACTTTTAAAACTTATTTTTGGAAGTTCGATTCGAGTAAGATGGGTTGTTATCATCACTTTAAATGGATCAACCTTGGGTAACTGAGTAACTCATTAGGCAATTCCATTACCTAACTTATTTTGATGCGTGATTATATGCTTAGATTGAAGACCTATAAACTTGAGGATGACAAAGACTTTTAAAAGGCCACACCTTGTGTGGTATTTAAATTATCATGTTGTGATATCTTATACTGATACCTCATAATTTTTTTAATAACCAAATCATTGAGGTATTTTGGGACAGCTTGTTATGCACAAAACTTTTAAACTTTGAAACTTCGAATTTTAGAACTAAAAGTATTTAAAAAAAATATTTTCAAACTAACCGGGGGGAAGTGTTCACTACAAGGATCTAACCCTTTGCAGACGACACATGTCGTCGGTAAAAGTCGATCTATAGAGACGACATGTCGTCTGGATAGAGTTTTCAAACATTGACCATATGTCATTGACCAGAAAAGCTATACAGACGACAAGTCGTCTGCATAGGCTTGGCGGGAAGGAGCAAAATATTGGCGGTATATTGAATTTCTATACAGACGACATGTCGTCGGGTGGAGGAATTAAAAAAATATTTTCGATTTATTTTAATTCTTTGTCGCAGAAAAGCAAGACGATGCCGTTTTGGCCAGCCTATGCAGACGACATGTCGTTGCAATAGGGTGCTTAAAAATTAATTTCGATTTATTTTTTATCCGTTTGGTAGAAATGTAATACGATGTCGTTTTGGTAAAGCTATCCAGACGACATGTTGTCTGGAAAAGGTAAGACCGATCCGCGTGAAAACTCTTTTTTATTTTATTTTATTTTTTAATGACGTGAAGTGGAACGACCCCGTTTTCGTTTACCTACGACATATCGTCTCTGTAGGGTTTCACTGTAACAAAAATGCTTTCAGTCTTCATTTTCCAGTCGACTGCCCCTTCCATTTTCCTCTCAAGCTTCGGCGATCTCAGACATTTTCCGACATTCCACTTCATCGGTCAGGTAAAAGGTAAGGTTTTAGTCCTTGATTTCTTCTTAATTAGTAAGGGCTTCCGTTTTTATTCCGATTTTGGGAGATTTGTTTCCGGTTTTGGAGCCCTAAAACACTGCCACCGGCCGGACAAGAACAGTGAACACCGCCATAGAAAACGATTTCCGGTGATATACCTATCTTCACCACCGATTTTAAGGTTGGTTTTTTGATTTTTCCCCTGCTTAAGGATACGTGAATGCAGTGCAGTTCATCTTTTTTCTTTTTCCTTCAATACACCATGATATATATACTTTCTTAGATATTTTTTTGGTTAATTGCTTATATACATATGCATTGTATACATGTATGATCAGCGTGTAGTACCTGTCAATCATGTATCTTTTTCTTTGCTGATATAATCCTTATTCCTCTCTATTTATAGTCTTGTTAATCTGTTCTTTTGTCTATGATATGAATCGACACATTTTACTATATTTTGTTTGAAGAAAAGCTGGTTTGTTTAGCTGATAGGTATCTATGGTTTTGTTTTCAGGACTCATGTTATCATAATTTGTTTCCTGAAGAACTTACAAGGGTCGATGAGTACAACTTTGATCATCCTGGCAAGTTTTGTTACTTTAACTTGCTATTTTTTTGATATTTTTTTTGTTTCTAATCTGGTTTTGTTTTCTTGTTTCTTATTGTACTTTTCCAAATGCTTTTGATAATGAGAAGTTACTCTCAGTTGTGGAGATGTTGAAGCAGTGGAAAGCAGTGGATATTCCAAAATATGATTTCAAAAGTTACACGAACAACATCTCTCGAAGGGTTAGTTAGTTCATTTAAAATACACATTTCAAAATGTCATTTTTGTAGTGTTTTGAGCATCTGATTGTATCTTTTATTGAACGTATGGCAGGTGAATCCTTTAGATGTGATAATTTTGGAAGGCATACTGATTTTTCATGATCCCCATGTACGTGATTTGATGAACATGAAGATCTTTGTTCATACAGGTTCTATATATATAACATTAGCCCAATGCTCAATGCTTTAATGGATTTATCTTTTTTTACTTAATTGTTATTTTCAATGCAGATGTACGACTGGCATGGAGAATTAGGCGTAACACAAGTGAAAAGGGAAGAGATATTGGTATGGTTCTTGATCAGGTCAATTCAAGATCCAAAATTTATATATCTCTACATAAAAATTTATAGTTTCTTTTGGACAACATGATCTTTGTAAAATATATCCTAATTTATATGTCATTCACTCAACTTTTCAGGTACCATTTTCTTAAAAAATATATATATAATATAACATTATTTGTATCTTTTTGTTTTCTTGATTGTTATATCTCTATATATTTTTTTTTGTTGTGATGCAGATACGTGGCATGCATACATTGATATGTGATGCTGAAACAACAAAACATGGTTTTTTTTTTGTTTTATACAGATCGTTTGATCCGTTTGGTGAGTTGTATTTTTCAGGGATAGAAATGTCATTTTGTGTTTTATCATTAAGATGATGATTTGTGTAAAAAAAATGTTGTACACAAATGTAGATTTTTGTAAGAGATTGTGGTATTTCTGTTATTAGAAGGTATTTATCTTCAAAACCATAATCATTTCAGATCATATTGTATTTATCTTATCTCAATTTGGAAGTGTTTTTGGATTTTAATGGTATGTTATGTTATGTTTATATTATTGTGCAAATATCCCTTTTGGATTTGTTTTAAATGATATATATAACAAAACCTATGGAAATTATTTTAAAAAAAGGTCTATAGAGACGACATGTCGTCTGTATAGCTTTATAAATGTAAAAACGGTTTTCCCATTCCTGACGACGTGTCATCTGTATTGATTAACTTTTCCAAACGACAAGTCGTCTCTACAGACTCACACTTTTACCAACTACAAGTCGTCGATATAGGGTCCGAATAAAACTTTTTCTTATTTCCTCGAAAATCAATCCCAATGACCTTTTAAAGACGACATGTCGTCTGGACTGGATATGCTATACAGACGACACCTGTCCCGACGATATTTTTGACTTTTAGCGACGGACCTATACCTACGACTTTTTACAGACCACATGTCGTCTGTATAAGTTTTAGAGACGACAAGTCGTCTGGATAGAATCCAAAATTGTCGTCTGCATCGGGCTCGATCCTTGTAGTGGTTTCATATATTTTCTTTATTAACTATTCTTATAAAGCTTTATCATTTTATGTTTTAACAAATTACACTTAGTAAAAGTATCCAGTTATATTCTTTATTTACTGTGATTTGGTTCAGCAAAATACTTTTTATTTTGTAACATATATATAAGCTTTCAAAAATATGATGTTACGGGTGTAACTGTAACTTTCTAAAAATGAAAAAGATTGATAAAGAAAATTAAATATAACAGGACAATAATTGTATGTATAATTCGACTTTGCCGGCAATCAATAGGTACGAGAGTCATGGGCAAATTATAAGGAGCTTTTTAAGGCACCATTCTTTTATGTAAATTTTGAATTAATTCTTTGTATTACTTTTTGATTTCGATAATTTCAGAAATGCAATATTAAATTCAGAAAAAATATAAAAGAAGACAAAAAAATATTGGTATATTAATAAATTAAAATTTTTTTTTTATCATAAAAGATTTTATTTTTAAAAATATGGCATAGTTAAATATTTTTTTTAGAAAATGATTAAAATGTAAGAAGTTGATTGTTGATGTAAATAAATAACTGATTTAAATTACAAAGAATAAAAGTAAAATGATTATTATTAAACTTTATTTTCTCCATGATTTCCACCGTATTAAAGATATGGTTTTAGACTTCAAAAATGGTTTTTGCCCACTTGCCCACTTGAAAAGAAACTCAAAGTAACATTCAACTTTCCTACCAATTTATGTTATAAATGACCTTGTTTTTTACAACCTCATAAGCTTAGAAATTTTAACTATAGCTTTCTAGATATGTATAAAAAGAGGGTTGTTAGAGAAATTAATGTTTTTAAGAAGATTTAAAATAATATCATAGGTAGGAGATAACTTGACATTTTCAACAAACCCAATTTAAAATTTTCCATATAGAAGATCAAGCGAGTCATATTGTTATTCTAAGACAGCTATCAACTAAACATGATTGATTACGAATTTATATTTCCTCATTTTGACTTATAAATTGTACTCTCATTGTCATGGCTCTCTCCGATCATATCTTCCATTGATCACAACATCAAATTTCTCTTTTATTTTCATGATTTGAGTAAAGGTAAACAACTCTTAGATCGATTGCCATGTTACATGGCATTCTGCAAGCATCTCCTTCTACTCTTTCTACATAAACATGAATATTCTTCGATTGCTCCAAATAACTTCATCTCGTGATCAATCAGTTAATCAAACGGATTTGATCTAGGATACAAGTGATCCTGATTGATTTAAGTGATCAATCCATTGATTATTTTCACCCTTATCGATTATATCAAATGAGTAGCGAAATCCAGCAGAAGACTGAATTGGAGGAGAGAGAAGACGAGAGGCTGAGGAAGGCGGCGGCGGAGGAGGATGAAGTGGAAGTGGAGGATGTCAGTGATCATGGGATGTTGGGAAAACGACGTCGGAGTGTGTTCAAATTATTGGCATGGGACATAGGATTCGACTCGAGTACGCACAGGGGTTTCAACAGAGAAAAAGATGGCATCCCTCAAGGTTTTTACATCCATCCACGAGACAGGTTTCTCTCTCTCTCTCTCTCTCTCTCTCTCTCTCTCTCTCTCTCTCTCTCTCTCTCTCTCTCTCTCTCTCTCTCTCTCTCTCTCTCTACAGTTTTCATCATATAAAATTATAACTTAAATATTTTAATGTGCGAAATAATTTATGCTTGAAACAAGCTACATATGAAGGAAGAAAGAAACAAGAAGTTAACAAAACCTGCAAACTGCAACACAAAAAAGTCAAATCTGTAGATATTGAACATGAAGTTCTAAAGTCAAATGTACAAAACGTGATGATAATTAATGCCACGTTTTATCATCTAATCATCTTCAGATATAAACAAAAAATAGAGTAGATTATATTGTTTATCATATGTATAAGTTTAATAAAAAGATAATTACAATATATCAATAGGAAGCTAGCTGTTTAGTAACTGACAACTTATATATATTATAATTATAATTAAAGCATGCATTAATTTATTACGGGTTTTAATTTTTATATATTTAGACAATAAGTTTAAATGAAATGTACTTCTTATTACATTATAAACACTATATATACGTTTTTATTTGCCGCTAGCTTTTCATGAACTTTTGATTTTATGTGTTATTAATATATGAAAATTATTTGGTCGTTAAATTAAAAGTATCATAAATATTTTTTGGAAACCATATCAACGTTATCAACGTACGTAATATGTATGATTTAATTAATTTATGGGATACACGTACCAGATAAATTAAAACAAAAACAAACATTTAATAGATATTAATTATATTACAAGGCACGCACAAAGACGGCTGTTGTTCCAGATCGATATATGGTTGCATTATTGGTTTAGCATGTTTCAAGCTTGTATAAAAAACATAATAACATGTTAGATTTGACCTTTAGAAGGCACACCACCTTCCAATACGTTGAGAATGTATATATCCAATTCAGAAGTTATGACTACTAAAAGTTCATAAGGGAAACTTCGTAACGTTCTATATAAGGTGCTTAATTAACAGGTTGACTTGGACAAATTTTACCTAAGTCAAAATTCATCTTCTTATAATGATCAACTACTTTTTGTCTATGTTTTACCACTATATATACTTGACTACTTGTAGCCCAAAACTCTATATAGGTCTTCAGGCACTTCCCCTTAACCCACAAACCTTTGGAGTCATATATATACTTTACTATCATGGTAAAAAGTGACCCCAAAAACCTAGAGAGGCGGTTGCTTCTTCAAAAGGACACTACCTAGCTATAAGGAATGAGATAGAATATTTTTGCAAAACCGTACTTAAGAGCTAGTGGATCTTTCTTCATATAATAAACTATTAGGCTATCGATGGATCTTCAAGAAGAAGATGAAAGAACAAATACAAATCAAGATTCGTGATCAAAGCTTACACACAACAAGATGATCTGGATTTCTTTGACACTTATCGGCCCATGATGATATAAATAACCTCCATTAGGATGATATATACAATTGCCATTGTGGCCTAGTAGATTTCGAAGCACACCAAGTTAATATGGATGTAAAAATGTCATAGAAGGTGATACATGAGGAACTTGAAAGAAAATAAATTGTGGAAAAACTAAAGACCAAAATTCACTTTACGATCATCTAAATTAAATATGGTATAGATCGTCACCTTTGACTTTTCCTAATTTTACACTCTCAACCTTAAACTATAGTATGTATGTCGCAAAAGGACCCTACAATATCATTAAATAATTATCTATCATCCTACTTCATATACGGCATTTTCTTTTATTTTCAATATATAATTCCATATCTAAAATATCTTTACGTGGTCTTCTATCATATGACATTATAGTGCATGCATGCTCTCTATAATATCATTTTATTTCCCAATCTTCGTTTCATGAACCAATCGTTTCATATATTATAAAAGAAAAATGGAAGCTTTTTAGTGCAAGAATGTATAACTTGCAATAAAACTCCGATGATGCAGATGGTATCGAGCATGGGAGAAATTCATATTGTTATGGGCAGTGTACTCTTCTTTTTTCACACCAATGGAATTTGGGTTCTTTAGGGGATTGCCTAATCATCTCTATTTCTTAGACATATTTGGTCAAGTGGCTTTCTTTGTAGACGTTTTCCTCCAGTTTTTCGTTGCTTTCAGAGACAACCAGACCTACAAGATGGTCTCTAACCGAGACCTCATTGCAATTCGGTTAGTTTTCACTTTTTATCCTCTTTTTCGGGTCATAAAATGAAACCCTCAAAATAGAAAATACGTAAATAACATAATGATAGAGTCTTGTTATTGTTTTGTATTTCACTCCATAACTTTAGGCGTTCCATTCAACTTTCTTGTTACAGGTACTTGAAATCTCATTTCATCTTTGATTTACTTGCATGTATGCCGTGGGATAATATTTATCGGGTATCACTCTAAACTCCATATAAACTCCAAAACACTTTTACTTAAGAAGATCACGTAACCACATTACTCCATATAAACTCCATATAATTAATAGAATGCATTTTCAAGTTCATATTAATTCTTTTCGTCATCACAAAGAAGTTATATGTTGTTCATTAGGCATCTGGAGAAAAAGAAGAAGTGAGATGCCTTATACTCATTAGGTTGGTGAGGGCGCGAAAAGTTCTAGAGTTTTTCTCCAAATTGGAAAAGGACATACGTGTCAACTATTTGTTTTCAAGGATTCTAAAGCTAATTGTAGTTGAGCTCTATTGCACACATACAGCAGCATGTATATTCTACTATTTGGCTACAACACTACCAGCCGCTGAAGAAGGATACACGTGGATTGGAAGCCTAACACTTGGTGATTATAGCTACACAAACTTCAGAGAAATCGATCTTTGGAAGCGCTATATAACATCTTTATATTTTTCAATCGTTACTATGGCAACCGTAGGTAATTAGTTTCTTCACCCCATGCATGGAAATCTTTTTGCATATAAAAT